CCCCCCCCCCCCCGAAAAAAAAAAAAAAAAAAGGACAGAAAAACCTTTTGTGCTACCCTAGCTCTACCAGTGTCCACACTCCACATCTCTCCCCAACTAGTTCTATTTCAACCAGCGAAAAGGAAAGGAAGAAACTCTATTATAACTCTGAAGTCCAACCTTCAAAAACCTCTCAAATCGGATCGCTGCCCCTGATTATTTTAAAACTAATGAACTTTTGTTTTGTAGTTCCAGAACCCTGACAAAAAAGTCACAAGATGTTCTTTCATTTAACCAGACACGCAGATTAAAAAGAATCAATAAATTGGAAAGAAAAATGATTTCTAGAAGTGAAAGTCCTTCAGCATGTTCGTTAATTATAGTAATTGCAGCGGCTTAAATAGGATTATCAAATGTTGCTAGAAACAATTGCAGTACAAGAAGAATTGAACTTTGACAACAAGCAGCGGTTTAGATTTTGAAGGTAGGTTGGAGAGGGCCTAGAAGAGGATGAGAAGGGATAGAGATGGAAAGGAGATAAGGGATCTAAAGCAAGTAAGGGAAATGAGATACAAAACATCACAGAAGAGGATGTACAAAGGAGGAGAAGAAGGGTTTAGGGAGCCATAAAGAAATTGTTAAAAGGTAAGGGGAGAAGTGAGAGTTGGGGGTCTACTGGAGGTTAAACGATTGCAGAGTTGGTAGGTGAGGTTGTCAAAGTAGGTTATTTTNAAATAGGGTAGCAGCGAGGCTAGACTTGCTTTATTAGTACAGTAACTTATTCTCCTTGAAGAATAGGAAAATACATACCTTTTTTCCAAATTAACTACTTTAAGATATGTTTTTCTTAAATTATGTGGTATTTTGTGGCCAAAACTTAATTATTTGGTAATACTCCGTTTTATCTTTAAGTTTGAAAATTTTATGTGAACTATCTATTTTTGAGGTGGTTTATTGGTAATTACAGCCAACTTAGGACGCTTAATGTGGCAGAACTTGAGTATAATATGAATGGAAAGTAGATTAGTTCACTAATGAAAAGGTTGTTTAGCTGGACAACTAAAGAGAAGGGAGCTATGTGTAGCATTTGGAGGTACAAGGAAAATAAATGATTGATAAGAACCAAAAAATGTCTCTTTCGAGTTATTATTGATCTATGAGTTTTCCCTGTATTTTCTTTCATCGCCCTGTTCAATAATAAGTCTTGATTATAACAAGGTTGGGGTGGGGGTCTTCGAGACCAAGTTTTGTTTAAGTGGTGAGGGTTATGGCAACTATTACTCTCGAGCTTTCAGCTTTTGATATGCACTTAAACTGTTACTACCTCTGAGGGTAGTTAAGAATAACTATTCCAAGTTTGTGGCTTATTTCTTTATCTTTTATGATCTTTGGTATGCTGGTCGTGTGTTTTGTGTATACGGCAATCGATTCTCAATTTGACACGTAACTTTTGTCACATTCATTCTCTCATCAATACTTTACTTTAGGGAATATGTAAAGAAGAAAGGACGGAACAATGTAACTGTCGACGACCTTGTACATGTGATTACCCCAAAAGGTAGAGGTAAGGGTTCTGTCTTCTCTTTCACTTTTTCTAGACACACACACCTGAAGGAGGAATGGCTGTATGCTTAAAATGTACTCCTTCTGATTATCTTTGTATCCTTTTAAGCAATAAGAGTGCATTGAAGTTGACATATTTCCTTGAGTGCTGTTGGTTCCTTTAAACATACGGCATTGGGAGATTAGATTTTGTGATCCGTCTCTTACTCAATTTCCCAGCTTCATGATTATTGGAATGTTTTAAATAATAAATACTGCCTGCATTTGATAGAATATACACATTGGTGTTCCTTTGTTAAATGTTTTCTGCTGCTTATTGAATTGCAGCTTCAATACCTGATTCCATCAAAGCTGAGCTGCTACAAAGAATTCGTACATTTCTTGTTTCAGCCACTCTTTGATTCAACAGCTTCATATGCATGAAGAAGGTAGCAGTAACGGTGAATATGCTGGGTATGCTTTGATTCATTCATCTTGGGGCGCTCCTGGTCTAGATTATGACAACAATGGAGGAACTTGGAGCCATATGAGAAGATGGGTCATTGGTGGTTGTCTGCATTGAGGGGCCAGTTCAGAGTTCAACCACTGCATCGCCCCTCACCTTTTAGTGTCCAAATTATCTGTTTTCTGACTGTTGCTGGCCTTTAAGAGTAGTTTTGTATTGCATTACCTGCGCAGCACAATCCCCCTTCTGTTTTCACTTTTTTATTGTTGTGTACTGGGGTTTGGTAAGAGGCAGTTGGATGTGTTTTCTCTGGCTTTGTTTTAATTCTTACACGCATAAAGATTTGGGTTCACCATCTTAGTTTGCTTCTGTCTTGCGTCTGACCTCTGTACCCTAAAGCGCCAAAGCATCGAGGGGTTTTAACATCCTTTTGAGCATATGTAGGTAACAGGCAATTGATTACTCCCTCTAATTCACTTTATGTGGCTGAATTTGATTCGGGCATGTTGTTTAAGAAAGTCTTGTGAAAAACGTGACATGACATATCTGTGGGTATAAAAGGCGTGCGATTTGTAGTTAAAAATGTAATCATTGTCTTAGGATGGGATTAGTAAGGAAAGTATTACATAAAATAGAACATATCATGATTATTAAACTAAAATGATTTGAGTGCATCATCCGCTGTGGTAGTCGGGCATAACAGTTTCAATCCCTCGTCAACCTGATCCATCATTCTTTCCTTTGCTTAACGAGTTTTATCATGGCTTTAATTACTCGATGTGTGTTTCTATGATAATCAACGGGGTGATGTCTTTGCTAGGATCTTACTCCAGTTGTGGTCTATAATTTGCAAGATAGTTCTAAAATAAGGATATTCTTTGTTGGCACAGTTTCACCATTCAATTCAATACCCTTGTAGCCCGAAGAATTTGGTGGACAAGCCCACTGCACCCCCTCAAAAAGAGAAGAAATAACGGCTTGAATGTCCTATTTCACAAATTGGATGAAACAAAGTCGAAATGCAGATATGAAATGACATTTCAATCTTGACCCATTACATAGGCATCATTACTTCTCAAGTTCATTGTAAGATTACAAGACTAACTTTGGAACGCTTCTATTTAAGCATCTCCAGACAAAATCACACACTTAATTGGCTAAATTAGCCAACCCTACTATTCAGAACCTCTCTCAGCCAGACTTGTACCAAAGCTTGCACTTTGGAAATCGGCGGAAAACACATTCCACACAGTGAAAAGCGCCATAAAACAACATCATTCACATAGACTGCTAGAGTTTATTTATACCAAGTAGTTCATGAAAGGCTGCCGCTTAAACACCAGATTTTTCACAGAGATCCAGCAAGTCCAAAGTCTGCAAACAAATCAGGTGTTAGGCATCGTGACTCTCCACTCTTGCGATAGTACTTACATAAGGACTCAAAACTATGATATACGTTCTCATCTTACCTCGGGCACAGAGAGCTCAAGACGGAATTTGGGTCCATCATAATGATGCAAAACTGGTCTAAAAGCATCTTCCTCCAAAGGCTTACCTAGTTTCCTAACACGGATCCTCACCTAAATGTGAAGTACAGAAAACTCAAAACTAAATAGATCCTTCAAGAACCTAGAGGAAAATGAGCAGTAACTCATTACTTTACCTGAGCAGGGAATCTTGACTCTCCTTTACACTTTTTGTCTTCCCAAGCAGTTGGATCAATGTTGGAACCTCCAAAACTTGCTGCCTGTCAAGAAAAATAGTTACAGAGATTGTTATAGTGGAGATTCATTGTGCTGCTGTTGACGCATGAACGAATACTCAAATCTGAATGATTGATACTTGTTCTGACATCTTTGTTTATCGCATAAAACAACTAAGGCAGAAAAATGATCCCTTTAGAGAAGCTATCTTGAAAAAGGAAGCTAGTAGTGCTCATCTTCAACAATTTATAGTACTTGGAACTAATTTTGACAAGAACGAGGCCGGTGAGTTAATACTCAATGCAAAAGTAGTAGTATGAAGCCCTCACCAGTATCACTGCACGGCAATGCTTCAAACCCTAACCTTTGGAGATAACAAAGTCCTAACACTATAGTTAAAAGAAAATAGAACTACAAAAAAGTTGTTTTTCTCTGCTCTATGAAGAAAATTCTTATAATATGCACAGCAGCCATGTGCATGTCCGAGGATGCTTTTGTCTTGCAATATTCTATGGGCGTTAAACACCCTTTATTTATAAAGATGTGAACAAGCAGATGTTATCATGTTTTAGAACACCGGCAAAAACAGTGTTGTTGGACAAACCTCAAAGGTGCCATACAACTGGTGAGTAGTGTAATTGTAGAGGAACAAGGGTAACCCTGGTGTTATTGCCCGCACGGAATCTCTATACCTTGGAGGTAGACCTGAAAAAGAAAGATTGGAGTTGAGATGTGATAAAAACGAATATACTTCCAGCACCATATTTATCAATGACTTCAACTTTCTCTGCAGTTTGCTCTATTGGCACAAATTGAACTGTATAAGCTTTTAGATTCTATAAAATTAGGATCTCACTTTTTTTCCCCTCTCACAAGTGATTCAAACTCTCATCAGCCACAAACAGTGAAATGTTAAAGCAGCTAAAATGCATAAAAACTGACATTTCAAGAAAAGGACTTCTTTTTTAGTTAAATCCCCACTCATGCTTTCACCTGCTGCGGTGGTGCCGAGTTTGGCATTGACCTCGTATACTAATATTGTTAACAAAAAGTACAAAGTAGGGGGGACATAAACATAACCTCCAATCCTACTGGTGGTTACTCTAGTCAACTATCTTGCTAAAGAAGTAAAGATGGTTTAACTAGTCAACCAAGAAGAGAACATTCATTCTCTTAAATGTGGTATTACTTCATTATTTCAGTCACGCTGTTAACCAAACAGGTTAGGTTCAATATGCACTGAAGATGTTTATAACCTACTGTATACAAGCCATAAGTTCTACACTTTCTTATGCCAAACAAACAAGTCCATTTAGTTAAAAAAAGATTAAAAGATCATAGAAAAGTTACCAAACAGCTGGCGCTTCAAGTCTTCCTGCATCGTGTCATTGTTGCAGACAAATATATACCCTCCAAGAACTTCATTCCTGGGCAGTGTCTCAGCAGCAGGCAAAGTCTTAAACCTTTTTTCAACAGCATTATTCCCATTCGTATTCTCACTATTGTTGATGTTGCATTGTTCATTCATGTGGTTGCTGTTGAACTTGATAAAAGACATATTTCCCAAGCCGTTGACATTGGGTTTCGGATAAACTGAATTAATGTTACAAACGCCATTCCTAACGGAACTCTTAGTCATATTTTCAGTCATCATGCTATCCAAATTTAACATGTTAAAGTTAAGGCTTTCACACTTGTTATACTCCTGATAACCAAGATAATCCCTGGGCCTAATTTCCGCTGATCCCTTCGAAAAGTCAAGGTTATTCCTCCGCTCACCCTTGGACTTTATCTGCTCCGCCAATTTTATAGCAGCCGTTGTCCATTTATGATCTTCCGACACTTTTGATTGGCCTCGAAGCTCATCCCCAAATTGCCAATAGCTGTGCATATTCTCCATGTTGCAGTTTGACTACTAAATTATACAGCTCGAGAATCTGCATAACATACATTTTAGCGGAACCAAAAATCAGATGAAAAGCACTAATAAGTGAGTCCGTCATAAAATTTCAGGCTATATTCTGGATATCACAGCAAAAGGAGTTAAAATCAAAGCACTTCATAGTATACGATACTAGCTTTTACTGAACAAATACTACTTGAATTACACTATGGATCAGCTAATAGTGACAACACAACAATATCAGCTTCAAAGTGTCAATATGGGGTGATTAGGAAGTTGGGAACAATAATCATAATAAAGAAAACTTAAAAATTTATGGTAATTGTGTCAACAACAGCTTTCTTAGGAGAAAACTGAAAAAACTTAACCAAAGTTTTCAGTAACCAGTACAGAAAATAGTTGAAATCCAAATAAGAAACAATACTAAGTGTGATGAAATCAAGCCCAAACATGGTCAGGTAGACAATTTAAGCAATATTGACCCAATGAATAAGAGATAAGATCATCAAATTGGAAATGCAGCAATATGCTGCTTAGTTTAAACTTTAAACTAACATAGAAGCAGCCAAGCAGGTCATCAAATAAATTTATTTAGCTAAAAATATGAAGAGCTTACTTGAAATTTGATCAACCAAAATATTCTTCAATCACAATAACCCTAGAATTTGGGATCCATAGCTAAAACATAAAGCTGCAAAGCAAGAAAAGTGAGAAGCTAGTACCAGTACCAGGTATTTTGAAACTTTACTTTACACCTAATACTTTAAGCTGGCAACACTTTATGTAACTTAAATTTACATTTCTGACATTAGATATTATTTCAAATTTTAAGGTGGAGCCTGTATGAATTGAATGATTAAATCACGCGCTTTAGGTGACGTGTGTGGCCAGCTTCAGATACTTGACGTCTTGACGATCACTGGATGACTAAAGTGGTAATGCACGCGCTATCTGTGCGAATGTGTATGGATTTGCATGTGTGGTCAGACATCGGTGTCGTAAATGTAATTTAAAGGGCTGTCGGTTGAACAAGAAACACGGGCCACCAATCCCGTACTTGGTTTTGGGCCAGTTAAAGTTTCCTGACCCGACTGAAAAGAGCCCAAATGCAACAGCACTGGTCTGATCCATACAACCAGAAAAAGGAAAGAGCCCATATATATATATTAGATGTTGATTTTTTTTCGCTTTCTTCATCTGATATATATATATATATATATATATATGAACGTGCGTTGCACGTTAATAATGACACATGATGATTTAAATATTTATTTATATGAAGGAACAATAAAATTTAATTAATAAGAGAAATTTTATGTATAATAATATAACAATCATCTAAATGCTGAAAAATATTATTACATTAGCATAATACGTGAATTTAAAATAAAAGGACATCATCAAAACTTACACAAATGATCAATTTTGTCATGTTAGTTAGATAATTATGTATTATAGTTTAAAAGTATTTAATGTGATGGTATCTTAAAGAACACTTCTTTGTGGACAATATTCTTTTTTGTATATGTTTCCTCATAATGTTTTGGTTGCTCTGCCTTAACTAGAACTCTTTTTGTCGATCTTGATATCTCTCTTTAAAGTGCAACATACAATTGTTCGTGCAAGAAAATATATTATGGTTAGTATAGTCCAATATTTAGAATGTTTATCCTTGTACTTTATTTATTATATTTGCAAAACATAAACATACTAAAAATTATTTTCACACAATTTAAAAGAATATTTCTTAGTTTCGGAAGACGAAAGTTGAATTCAACGCTGAGAATATACTTAGAAGCACATTGACCAGTATCATAATTTTTGCATGTGTGATGTTATTGTCAAAACTTCTATATACCATTTGTGTGCTATTACATAAGCTATTCGGCGTATTTAAGTTTTTCAGTAGCATGACGAGCATATTTTTCTTCAAAATCAACCTATATACAATGGAAGATCAACTTAGTCTATTATATATACGGTGACACTAACATACGTAAGAAATAATAAACTTGACAACAAACATGTATGGTAGAAGGCCGTTTGGCATTAAAGTATTTAAGTACTCTTCTTGGTAGTAATTATTAGTATCATTTTTTACTAAGCCAAAAACATAAAAATATTTTATTTTTACTATAAAATTTTTGCAATCAACCTTTTATTTAGTTGATCAACATATTCATTTCTTCTAGCTAAGATATCTTTTTAATTCTATCATGCGATTTACACAAATTGCATTTTAATCTAATGATAGAAATATTTCTTTTATTCAATGCACTACTATTATCATTGGGATTGATAACCAAGTGTTCAGAAATAATCAAATCATCTTTTATTGGATGCTCTTATTCGTTTTCGATACGAAGCAAGAAGACACTAAATACTGGATCTGTTCTCACTTTATATTTTTTGTCAGTTAAATCTTTTTCATTTGAGGCCAGAAGTATAACTTGGCAAACTAGCTTTTAAAGTCTCTGCTTTTATCGATTTTGGAAGTACTGGTAGTACTTAACATAAATTACCTGCCAAACCATTAATTTTTCACTAAACGGTTCATTAATATCCAATATATCTCTAGAACTCTGTTTGATCCTTAGCCATAAGTGTTTCATCCTATATTATCAATTTTGCGTTCCTTATAAATTTAGCACCATTGCTCTGCTTTGATATATTTGTGATGGTTATTTAAATTATTTGAAGAGATATATCAAATCTAAAGTGAGCGGCCTTACAATAAAATCGTTGTTGGTACACCACTTGCTATTATTGCTAACAATGTGTAACGACCCGACTTGTCGTTTTAAGAATTTACGCCTCGTTCATTGGCTTAAGGTCTCGAGAAGTTTTCGTAATATGTATTATGACCCGTGGGTATGGTCAAGTTTGATTTTCGGAATTTAATTAAAAGAACAATTCTTATTTAGAAGCTTAAATGGAAAGAGTTGATCGGAGAGTTAACTTTTGAGCAAACGACCCAGGAGTGGAATTTCGATGATGGCAATAGCTTCGTATGATGATTTCGGACTTAGGCGTATGTTCGGATTTGGATTTGGAAGTCCGTAGGACAATTTGACACATTTTGGCGAAAGTTGGAAAATATAAGATTTTGGAAAAAGTCCAACGGAAGGGTGAATTTTTGATAACGAGGTCAGATTTCGATTTCGGAAATGGGAATATCTCACTTACATCAATTATGACTTGTGTGCAAAATTTGAAGTCATTCCGTATTGATTTGATACGTTTCAGCGCAAAATATAGAAGTTGGAGGATTTGAAAACTTATAATTCGATTTGATGCGCGATTCGTAATTTCGGCGTTTGTTGATGTGGTTTGAAGACTCGACTAAGTTCGTATTGTGCTTTTGGACATGTTGTTATAATTGGTTGAGGTCCCTGGGGCCTCGGGTAAATTTCGGAAAGTTAACGGAGCAATTCAGACTTGGAAGAAGCTGCTGGAAAATGGCAGTAGCTGTTGGATTCGCACCTGCGAAATTTTGGGCACAGGTGCGACCTCGCAGAAGCGAGCTGGGCAGAGCTGGAGGAAGGTCGCAGATGTGGACAGCCTTCCGCACCTGCGCAATCGCATGTGCGATATTTGCTACGCAAAAGCGACGAGGCAGCGCAGAAGCGGAAATGCTGCGCACCTGCGATCAGCGCAGAAGCGGAACTGGCTCCGTAGGTGCGAGCTTTGTGGCTGGGCAGTAACATCGCAGAAGCGTGTATTCGCTCGCAAAAGCGAACACGCATGTGCGAAAATGAGTCCGCATGTGTGAAACTGGGCAGAATCATAAGGACCAAAAATGGTCATTTTTGGCATTTCGTTTTGGAATTTTTGGAGCTCGAATTTGGGCGATTCTGGAGGGATTTTTCACAAGTTTGGTTGGAGTAAGTGTTCTATATCCTAAAGTGATTATATTTCATGAATCTATGATTATATTCATTATTTAATTCGTATTTAAATGGAAGAAATCAAGATTTCTATAAAATCTTCCAAAAACGAAAATTTAAGATTTGAAGGTCGAGTTGTTATTGGAATTCAATAAAATTGGTATGGTTGAACTCGTATCGAAATGAGTGTTCGGATTTCGTAAAAATTATGTCGGGTTCCGAGGGGCGAGCCCCGCATTGACTTTTGTTGACTTTTTGGAATAAATTTTTAAGTCGATGTATTATTATCCAGAATTGTTTCCGATGAATTTTAATGAAGTTATACAATTAATTTGGATAGATTTGAGCTGTACGGAGGTCAATTCAAGCAAGAAGGCGATTTTGGAATATCGTCATAACTTCAAAGAGGTAAGTGTCTTGCTTAACCTCGAGTGGGAGAATTACCCATTAGGCATTGAGTCTTATGTGTCATTTGTGAAATGTGAAAAGCCGTGTACGCGAGGTGACGAGTACGTACTCGGGCTTATATGTGCAAATTTTTATTGGATTAAAGTCTTAGGCATTATTGTGTAGTAAATTGGATAATCGTGGATAATTAATAAATCATCTGTTTGCTATGACTAAATCCTTGTTGTTGAATTTATTTTTATATGACAATTTGATGAAATTACTACTTGTATATTTATGTGAATTCCGTGAGTTTGATGGTTAATATTTCTTGAAATTTAATTTTATTATGGATTTTTCATCTGCAAATAATTATTTTTGGGTGTTATATATATATTGTGTGGAGCCTTGGGCTATTTGTTGTGAAATTAATTGATTTTGTTATATCTTTGGAATTTGGTTGTGGCCATTGGGCAAATTATGATATGATTTGATTTTGTTATGTTGCCGTAATAATTTTCGGTGTAAATTATTGTACTGTGTGAGTTATTATTTTGGGGAGATAAGGGTGACATTTCAGTGTTGTTGTGTTTGTTGGAATATTGTCGGGGCAGAGCGATAAGGGTGGCTATAGTAACGATAAGGGTGGCAATAAGAGCGATAAGGGTGGCTATTGATATTGTCTGGGCGGAGCGATAAGGGTGGCTATAAGAGTGATAAGGGTGGCAATAGGAGCGATAAGGGTGGCTATTGTCAGGGACGATATGTGATGATGTGGGGTTGTGGTGTTGATAATTTTCGTGTGATGTTGTGATTTTCTTGTGTTTACTTTTATACCTTGTGCAATTTGTCTTGTTGTTGGTAAATTGATAACAATCTGATTTATGTTAAAATTGAGAGCATGTGGCTATTGCCAGGCAGATTATAAATTGAAATGTGGGCACGAAATGCCGTGAGTAAATAATGAGGATATTTGGCACGTGAATTGCCCGTGCAATTGTGATATGAAATGTGGGGCACGAGGTGTTGTGATGAAATGATAATGATATTTGGCACGTGAATTGCCCGTGCAGTTGTGAGATGAAATGAGGGCACGGGGTGCCGGAAAAATATGATGATTTAATTATGGGTACGAGGTGCCGTAAAAATATGAAAATGGGCTGAGACCCGTATTTACGAAAAATATGAAAATAGGCTGAGACCCGTATTTTTATGACTATGAAATGAGGTGTCACATGTTGACTTTTTAATTGAAAGAATTATATTCAAAATATTTATTTGGAAGAATTTTTATTCAAAAAGAATTATATGAAAGAATTGTACTTGAAAGATATTTATTTGAGAAAATTATATTTGAAAAGATTTATTGAAAGAATTATATTTGAAAAATAATTATTTGAGAAAACTACATTTGAAAAAGAGTTATTTGGAAGAATTAAATGTGAAGGATATTTATTTGAAAAACTTGAATTAATTGGGCGTACATT